CCTTAGCACAACACTACCACTGCGTAAACTCGGAAGCTCATATCTGAAGCCCTGTGTTCCATTCAAAATTCAAAAGTAATCAAATAGTAATAGATATTAATAATTTGAAGCATAGTATTATTCGCATAATTTAGAGAATGACAGACTTGAGGATGAATCAGGTTCTTTATATATCCGTTTTATTGAATTAAAATTAATATGACCCGTTGCACAAGAGGTAGCTCTCATGGTCCAAGTGGTCTAGTGGATAACGCTTTGGCATTTGAAACTATGGGAACTGGGTTCGAGCCTCAGTGGGAACATCATCACTCACTGGGAAATGCAGGCACAAACAGATGACGAGTCCCAAATGGGATGAAATACGCATCCTGACTGGATTCCACTGCTAGTCACCATCCACCAATTAGAGAAGTGACAGTTTCGATCTTAATTTACTGCTTCCTCTCTGTTGATTGAAGAACAATTCACTCGTTGACATATCATTAAGAATATGATTGTTTTTTTCTACTTCAGATACCACTTCTTCGGTTAACTGAAGCTATGGAGGATTTCAATATTGAACACTTTACTATGCATAAATATCTGATGGAAATTTAAATATTTTGATGAAAATGACATAGAAAAACTTAATTAAAATTGTCTGCTCACTCATTAAACTTCATTGCATTAGATTGATGATAGTTTTATGTAATAAATATATCATGTGTTTTATTTAAAATAAGCTTTATGGAAGGGAGTAGTATTAAAGGAATTAGTTTATTTTATCGACATAATTCACTGCTTATACAGACATGACTGAATTGCAAACGAAAACGGGTGTCATCGGTGTAGACACTCTAACATCTACGAAGAGTATTCTTATTTCGACTGACATAGATATACACATTCTTTATCAGTTGAAGTAATAAATCAAAAGACAAACACATTTTAATTCATTATAGTCACTGGAGGTGATGAAGAATCCTGGTCAACAGCAACAACAACAAAACAGACAACAGTCAGCATAAATGGGAGAAATCTGAAAGAAACAATTCCCTTTACCTATCTGGGAAGCATCGTTTTAATTACAGGTGGACGGAACTGACGAGGATATCATCAAAGCGAGGCTAGGGAAAACATGGAAGGCTTTCATTACTCTTAAGTCTGTGTGGAGATTGACAGCACTCGTCATGAAAAATAAGATCCGTATTTTCAACTCCACTGTGAAGTCAGTGCTACTCAATACGGATCAGAGACTTGGCGCCGCGTCACGAAGGTCACTTCAAACAAACTACAGACCTTGATCAACAGCTGTCTTCGTTCAATACTCAAGGTCAGATGGCCAGAAAAGTTCAGCATGAGAGATCTCCGGGAGCAAGAACCAATTGTGCAACAAATATGCAAGAAGAAATGGCGATGGATTGGCCATACTCTGAGGAAACCATCAAGTGACATCACACGCCAGGCCATTGCTCGTGTGGAACCCGAGTGGGAAGCGTCTCGTTAGTCGTTAGTGCTAGAGTGATATGGAGGAGGTGATGCGAAAAGGAGATGAAAGTATGTGGACAGATGTGGGGCCAGGAGAAGACGTTGGCGGAGAACCGAATACGATGAAGACGTGTGGCTGAAACTCTATGTTCTTCTAGAAATTAAACGATACAATAATAATAATAGTCACTAGAGGAATGGATGGCAATGAGTTATTTCATTCATGTCATTGCTGTTACACGACATCACAAAAAATGATATATGTGTGTGATAGCTTAGTCAGCGTGTAACTGAGCGTCTCCCATCATGGTTTCGCAAAGGACAGACAAAAACAATCCGTGACTCGATTTTGTCCCATTCAGTTGATGATGGTCATGTAGTGGAGAAAAAGAAGGCTTTCAAAGTAATTCATCAAATCCTACCGAGTCTTTCCGATACACTTCGTATTTGTCTTCTGCACATAGCTGAGGCGATAAACATTCAAACTATTAAGCCTAAAATATACATTCAAAAGAGTTTGTACAGCAATTATCCCTCCCTTGGTCTATTAGGACCTAACCAACTGAAGACTTCTCCACAACCCCTTACTTATATTTCCAACCCTTTCTTATCATCCTTTATATGTAGGTTGGCTGTCAGTATCAGTTTTGAGCAAGATCAATAGTAAATCTTTTATACTATGTGATTATAAGGGAAATAAGGGGGTCTGGTGGTATTTTTAAAAGCCTCGGCTGAACATAAAATAACCGATATTATGCTTACAACGGTTGCACGTTAACCTACAGACTTCATCCTTCATTATCATTTATGTATTTATACTGGAAAAGGGTGATAATTATGACAAAGACTCATTATGTGCACAAGTTGGCGAATTCAAGTCGAATGTATTTTGTTTCTATAGATCAATACTAGAAAAAAATTTCACTCGAATTCGTTCACCTTTTCATTTTACAGTCAGTGACATAAGCCTGTTTAGAAACTGAAAGAATCAACCGTTTTTCAGAAGTCAGTAGTATATTCCGGACAGTGTGCATTATAAAAGTGTTTAGGAAAAGCATGTTTGCCTTCATTGTTTGCCAAATTAGTGTTATGCCCTTAACGATGCTTTTGTTCGCTTAACGTGTTATTCTCCTATCAAAGTTGTACGAAAAACCAGTCATTATTTATCACCTCTGCCTATGACTATTCAGCTCCAATGCTATTTAAGTGTTTGATGATGATTGATAATAAATTTATGTTTTACGGGTTGATCACGGATTGATATCAGTTAGAGAACCATTGAAAACCAGGCAGCACTGGACAGCTGCTGTTTCAACCTAGTTTGGGAATCGTCGGCAGTACGCACCCACTGGGATTCGAACCCAGGACCTTCCGGTTACAAGGCAAGCTCGTATACCATTCAGCCACTGGGACCCGTTTCAATGGCTCGTGAATTCTAACTTCTACTAATTCGTGATTTAGCGCGACCCCAACCATTGTCGTTGGTGGGACAACCATCCACACATGCTAACTGATTAACTGTTGATTCGATTATCTGAAACAGACATATGTGTACAGACTGATAACAATATAATTTGTGATGATCAGTTGCAATGGGATGTGAAATAGCTGCTTTTAAACAAGTTGCCCGGCATTCAAATAGCACAGCTGTGAGACCCAGATATACTTCTGGCCATTACTGTTTCGTTTTCATCTCACTTTAGTCGTCGTCCATTGAAACAGCACGATTCTGCCAATTCATGTCTATTTTAGATTTCTTCACCAGCAAAAATATTCAGTTTTCAAGGTTTCTTTCTTCACTATCATCTCACAGATACTTAGATGCTTGAATTGTCTCACTATCAAGGACTATCTGTGGTGATTTCATTGACGGTTTACCACTTACTGTTCACCTTTTAACTCTTCACAACTTGAAATGACAGAAGAAGTCATAGCAAGAAATTTGGTGTGATGACCACAAAAAAAACACAGTTACAATTCGTACACCCACATGTCAACATCTGTGATATTTGCAGTGAAATCATCTGGCGTGTATCAAATATGTTTCATACTTCATCTGATTGACTTTCAGGCCAATAACTGACTACTGGCTTTCATAGTAGGATAATCTTCATATACATTTCTTCTAAGGTCAGTTTATTAAGTTTGAAATACATAAGGTGAAAGAGATTAGACTAATGGTATATCAAAGTTTGTACTACAGCATAATATTGAAGGCCACTGAAAAGTGAACTCATGTCTGATTGTATACATTTATTAGAATGTCTAATGAAACAACAACAGTTTCAGGTTTATTCACTTGGTGTGACGATGCTACCGTCTCTTTCTTAGCAGCAAACATGTAAGTTTAAGATTCTGCTAGTCACAGAGTGAAATGAATTCAGGTGTGTTGCACGCTGAATGGGTAGATGAATATATCTGGAGTGGTAATATTTACTGATCATCGCAAATTTAAAGCTTAAAAAGAATAAATCTTAGATATTACATCTTCAACGTCATCATTCAAATGTTATAGTTAAGTTACTTTCAGATAGAATAAACTGCAACTGGTTTTTCAAAATGACGTTTACAAAACATCATACTTCCTAAGAAAGTTCTGGGTAGAATAAAGAACACACAAATAAGAAGATAACACGAAGCAAAATAAATATATAAATGCGTCACTAACGATACTAGGGGTAGCTAATAATATATCACATTTAAAAAACCCACTTTGTTTGGAAAAGGTGACAGTGTATTTGAAAACTGGGGGGAATAAAGTCTTTTTAAGAACGGACATACTAAGTTCAGTTGTTCCTACGCTAAGGCTAGATCTGCAAGCTACTACACTTGTGAAACAAGAAGTCTCACACTACTTTTGTACTGGATTTCTTGAACGGTGACATCATCAATATCTATCTCAGTTGACCTCAGCTTCATCTCATAACCTACTGCTTAACGAGATCTAAACTGCAGCAAATCATTTTGCTAAACTGTGGTAGAGATTATCAACCATGCATCATATTGACCCAACTCAGAAGGACGATTTATTTCACACTAACTGAATTCAGGCTAGCTGCCTCAATAAATCAATTATACATGAAATACATCTGATCATTTAGAAATTAATCAATGTGAAGCTGTAACTGGCCATGATTTCATTTGTTGACTCCACACTTTCACAGTTCCATGAACTCCAGTTACAAGGAAACACTGCTTAGTTATTAGTACATAACCTTGTAGAGGTGAGTCAGTGCTACGAAAGTTGTATTCTTACCAACAACCTGTGAGGTCTCAGTTTGATTCCTAGCCGAACCACTCCTAAACATCGACTAGTTAACTGTTCGGCAGTTAGCACAGCGAATACTGATGGCTGAGCACAAGTTTAGCAAATTCACAGCGCAGAAACGAAACCCCCGCTAATGAAATCACAAAGCTTGACTCCCTAAATACGGATGAGTATACACAGGCATGAAACAGATTATCACGACGAGTGTGACAAGTGAAATAACGATCAATACTAATTGAGAACACAGATATATGGTCTGAATTAGAAGCTTTATTATTTGAGGTTAGTACATTTATCAAATCGGCTGTTGTTAATCAACTTGTCTGCCATTATCTAGCAGATGTGATCATTCCAAAAATTGTTTTTGCTTCTTAATATCATCAATCAATCTCATTCAGTTATTTGCAGTTACTCCCAGTGCACTTCTTCACCTTCTTCTTATTCAGTCCTCCCTCATTCGCGATTTCGTCACTGTCTTCACAAAACGGTGCACCATTCGGACAATCATCTCTGAGGACTCTTGTGTAATCTACAATATCTTCAAAGTGAAACAAAACAAAATATCTTAGAGTGAAGTCACTAAACATAAAATACCTTTGAATTTAATGATGGGGAACAGTTCAACTGGAAAAGTGACGACTCTCGAAAAGGTGTTATTTCCGTCCAGCGATAAAAGCACAAAATGCTATATTCTGTGTTGTGTAGAACTCTATTTCAACTTAATAAGTAGGATACATGCCATTTGAACTGATCAATTCGTGTGAAATCATTGACATATTTGAATGCATACACTTCAATTGATTCCAAATTTTCGAATGTGACTATCGAACGTTTATATGGAAGTCTCGTCAAACGTTGCACGTTCTCTAACTGTGTCAGTGAAGAATACTGCATTATGCATAAATTTAGTCTTTCATTACCATCTCACATTGCATTTCACCAACTCTCCCTACATTTGAAAGATACCTGAACAAGCGAAAAACTGCTCTTTATTTGACGAGAATTCCCCACCGACACAGATACATTAATGCACAATATTTGACTTCAAACTTATTTTTGAATAAACACACGTGTGACTGTGTTCATTCATATGAATCACAGTCGTATGCTTCATCTGACTATACTCACTTATTTTGAGAATCTGACGACATCAAGTATAATAGATTCTTGATGTTACAGCAATGCGTTTGAATAAGGAATTGCCACTACTATTGATATACGCATACGTTCCACCCCTAGACGTCTAATCCTTCGAGGTAGTATTCTTGACTAATACGTAATAATGACGGAATTACTGGGTAATCTTGATCAAGAATCGTGGTGGTAGGACAGTTCTTTACACGATGATTCCGTGGAACGTCTAAAATAACAGTTTATTTATTACTCGTATTGAGGGTGAATGTGTGATGGCTTTTTAGGAATGTGCTCATCTACAAATCCCATGGGTATACCTGTAAGTGTTTCAGGGATATGCATTAGGAAACTACGCCAGTAAACTGTATTCTCAGCATAAGGCAGTACACTGAAGGATAAACGAACGAATGGTTGTGTGGTTGACAGGTAATACCGCACACATATTCAGGTGATTTCACTGTCATTGGTGTAAAAGGAAATCCCAGTGGAATGTAAGTTATTCAGAAATATATCAGAAAAAATATGCCAAGAATTCCATGGAACGCATTTCAGTGAAAACAAAAAACTTACCATAATCTTCATCCATCCGAACATATTCGAGTGATACGAAAAGGCATAGTGCGAAGAGTATCACTTTCATTTTCATGAATATCAATGAGTTGATAATTTAAACATGATTCAATTGTTTCTTTATATACACTGACTTTCCAAGCATTTCGACTACTTGCATCACAAAATGTTGATCAGCGTCATTCACTGTCATCGTCTTCAGAATCCAGAATTCAGTGCAATGTTGAATTGACAGTCAACTGTCAATTTTCAGCTGAATGATGCTTTCACTCGCTAGTGTAGTTGTATGTGTGCACATATTTACCGTCACGTTTATGCATGTATATAAGTATACACACATTTCTTGAAAAAAATAGGTGAATGTCAAAGACATCATCAAAATGATTTGGTCTCAAAATTTGACGAACAAATATCAAAACTTTTGATAACAGGAATATAGTGCCAACAAATACAAACGTTTCACCACCTTTCTGAAAAATGATAACAAATGTCATCAGACAATGAAGAAAACGAAGTAGACTTCAAACATAATTATTTGTTCATAAATATATCACATAGTCGAATAGTAACATTTACTGGATGCCGTTTCGAAAAGAAGTCTACTATTTTAAATGTAATATACAGAAAATTAATAGTATTACCTTCGTATGTATAATCATGTCTATGTATATATTGACATTCCCTTGCTGGATCGCTAGGAGTTTTACTTTTCGTACTCACGGTCAATTTCTGTTGCCTGTTGAATGATAGCACTGTTACAAATGGAATCGAAATTCACTGGAAGATTTGGACCTCGTGGATGACTAACATCCAATGCCCTAAAACGTCGAAGACCTACAGGCGACAACCAACAGGTTGGCAGAAGAGCGGAGGAAGACAGGACTTCAGGTGGACATGGATAAGACAGAAGTGATGGAGATACCTAGCTGACAACGGCAAAAATCAAACACTAGTGAGGGGAAAATCCTTAGGTAAACTAACTCTCACTTATCTAAGCAGCGTCGTCTCCACAAAATGTGGCGGGATGGAGGTAGTTGCCAGAGTCAACAGATACCGGAATGATAAGGCAGATCTTTATTGAACTGGAGCTACTATGAAAATCTGCTGTACTCAGAACGAGGACCAATAATTGTGGTGTTAATACCAATGTTCAGTCAGTGTTTTTACGTAGTTCAGAGACTGGGCGAGTTACGGAAAGCACTTGGAGCAGACTGCGAAAATTCGTCAGCACCTGCCTTTACTCGTTCGTGAAAACCAGATTGCCAGAAACGATAGGCAGAAAGGAACTAGGCAACGAATCAACAGAGAACATAATACCCAAAAATATGCTGAAAGAGGTGAAGATGAATCAGACAAAACTGAGAAGACCATTGAGTGAGATCACACGTCAATCAGGTTCTAAGTCAGGCCGAATGAAAAACGACGAGTAAGGCATGACCCTGTGGATGCCATGACTGAGATCACGTGGGAAGAAAGTGATAGTCTGTGGGTGATCAGAGAGATAACTAACAAAGACTGCAGAGAACGGCACACATTCGAAGTGTGCTTCTGAATCCATAAGTTCCATTCTCAACCAAAGGATAAAAACAGTAATGTTAATTATCAAGGTATTAATCGAAACCCAACCTTATAAATGCATATGATGGTTTGTCTTGCAAAAATGTTGAAGCCAATTGAAGCCAAATTGCCAGCTGGGTATAAAATACAACATGATTTCACAAATAAAACGTGTGAATACATACTCATCTAGCACATCCTACCGGCATTTGTATTATACAGACGCAGAATAAATTTATTTTTGCAATCAATAACAGTTTCATTCCCAGTAGGACATGAGTTCATTTAGGAACCATGAGACAAAAATATTGCTCACAGATTCTCCGCCGACTCACCACTAAACATAACCTAGTTTATCAGACAATATTCATCCATGAAAGAACAGAAGGCTCCGCGCCCTGCTATCAACCTCACCTTGAGAAAATAGTACCACTTCTACGAAAACTTCACAGCCGAAGCTTGAAGCCCCATATTTCACTAGGAACACGAAGGAAAGGGAGAAGGTGCGAATCATGTGTAGAAATAACGAGTGGAAGAGGCACATAATGAGAAGCATATTGATTCGAATATTAGTCATTTCTAATGTGAGTTGAGGTAAAAACAATGTTGAGTTGTCGAAGAAAAGAAGTGGAAATCAAATGTAAATCAGAAATCGGCTGAGGTGAAATGGAAGGGTTGGTCATTACGTAGAGGGCAAAAGATAACCAATGTCTTTTCACGAAAATTAATCTTTTACAGCATGCATGGAGAATATCAATTCGAAATGTTATTCAATGAATAGAGCTATCTATTGCCCATAGACAAAGAAAAAATTAGGCGGTAAACATTTAAACATTTGTGTAGCAAGAAGGTGAATATGCCACAGCGACGGTCGAATGGATTATTAACGCGAAATAGCTAGGTACAGATACGATCTACTCTATCCAGGACACATTATTGTTGCTGCAAGGTTCCTTGCTGAGTAACACAATAGTAAGTAAAGGTCCTGTGAATTATCCAGTCGTGAAGAGCGTTGTCAGGTTTCGTCGACATTGTGAATGCTCGACTGTGTCTCACAGATCCATAATTTCTTATGAAGTACGGAATTCTATGTGTGAAGATTTCTATTCTTGAAACAGTAACTACTTCGCGATGAGCCATAGGAAACGTCTGTGACAACAGAATGAGGTGAATTGTATTCAACTGGAGGATTTGACTGGTTTTCAACTACTCATCCTAAATGGTCAGTACCATATATAGCGTCATACATTAATGTTTAATTTCCTAACAGCCATCTACCGCATCAAGCAAAACGCAAACATATTTGCAGCTGGCGAATATAATTTAACCTGTTGTGATCCTGCAGAAATTGCGACTAAGAAGTCAGGGTCATTAAGATGATTCAGCCCTCTGAACGCAGTCAAATCGAGGTAGACCATCGTCGAGTGAACGAAGCGGACGTCTGTGATTCAAATAATTTCAAGATAGCCAACACACTACACTGGTTAACATGAGTGATATCCAACTACGCATAACACTCGATCAGTAATATACAGAGTCGTGTATGTATCCTGATCTTACTGACGAAATATATCAAATTCACATTCATTCTCCGTTTAGATATCCAACCCAGTACAATAGAACCATTTATTAGACAAGGTTTCGGACACAGTGTATTGTTCATAATCCACCAAAAATAAAATTTATTCGAAACTTCGTGAATCAGTGATCAGTGAACACTGACTCACTGTGTGAATGCATAAAATATTAATAGTATGAAATGCAATCGAAATGTTTGTGATTATAATTATTGTTAAACATCAATTGGAAAAACAATTATTTTCATATATAGAATAATTCATAGGATGAACACAACTTGGAAGGAATGTGAAATTATCGGAGTAGTGGGCGAGTCGAATCAAATTATGACGTTACATAAGATTGTGTGAAATTTGATAACATAGAATTTAACGTTGCGAAACAGAATTGACTCAGAATGACAAGTGGGCGCGTGAAATAATATCGGTGACAGTTCAAGGGGAGAATCGCAATAGTAATAATTGAGGTAATTAAGCTAGAGTATTGGAATTGAATCGACAAAACGAATAAATTGTTATGGCCAAAATGTGATTAGAGATTACCATACTTTAGCATAGATATATAAGAGTTAAGAAAGTTTGAGGGGTTGGACGAGGGTTTTCTGTACACAGAGAGCTGACTTTTCTGTTTCCATTGCCAAAGCTTCAGATGAGTCGGGTACGTAGTGATTTGGATAAATGACTTTTCAGGCGGAGGCTGTAGAGATAGGATGATCAGTATCGACCAGATGTTCAGTGATTGCACTTCTTATTGCTCCACTGCCACCTCTTCGTAATCATGCAGAATAGAGTTCTTGCACACTCTTGGACGAATCTCGAGTCGAACAACCGGCATACCTAGGTCCATATGAGCAGGTGAGTTGATAAACGCACAGAGAGTCGGTCAACAGTGGGATCTTGTCCTTCGGGTTATTGAACAATAATGGTCGACTGGTAAAGGCTATTCTCAAAGATGGGACAGGGAAAGTTCTTCTCAGGGACTGTGCGATCCTTCTTTTCATGATATCAGAAGCTGAATTACCTTTGAATTCCAGGCTTATGTACAATATTTTCTCTGGTATGGATGATGAATCACATTTCAAAGGATTTCACTTCTTGTTAGGACTTTTCTTGGAAGATTCAATACTCCTGCATTAAATGCATTTAATATATAATTCAAATTATAATCATTATCACAAATAGTAAAGTTGTCATCTACTAACCTCTTATACATTTATTCCCTTATCACCTCAATTATTACTATTGCGATTCTCCCTTGAACTGTCACCGATATTATTTCACGCGCTCACTTGTTATTCTGAGTCAATTCTGTTTCGCAACGTTAAATTCTCTGTTATCAAATTTCACACAATCTTATGTAACGTCATAGTTTGATTCGACTCGCCCACTACTCCGATAATTGCACATTCCTTCCGAGTTGTGTACATCCTATGAATTAGATATGATAGAGAAGATTTGTAGCTCAGGTGGATGATTTTGATGTGGTTTTGTTCTCTGAGCTGGATGGTTAATTTGCGAAGCTTTCATCACCCTACTGGGTGACATCTTTAGCGCATACTTCAATTTGAAGTGAGCTTTTAGATTTCTCCACGAGTTTATTAATCATCTCTCCTGGTGACTGTTTCTTTGACTTGAACTTTGACCCTTTGTGTGTGAAGTTTCTTTCTTATTGGTTGATAAATTTTGTCTATCTCGATGTGTCTATTGATTGATGATTCACTGGAATGCCAAGCTTCTAAAAATTCTCTAGCATTCTTGTTGTTTCCTCTGTCTAATATTTGAACGTTGTCCCAGTCGAATTGATGTCCGTGGTTGTCTGTGTGTAGTGATATGAGGGAGTGGATATCATGTCTTTTGACAGCTAACTTAAGTTCGTGGATACGAAGACGAAGGGGACGTCCACTTTGGCCGATGTAGTGTTTTTCGCTATTGTTACAATTTATTTTGTAGATGATGTTGGTTTTATCTTCTTTCGCTGTTGAGTCTTTTGGTTGACATAGAATTGAGTGAAGCGACTTTGTTGGTTTGTGTACGACGTCAATTCCTAAAGGTTTGAAGAGTCTTGTAGTGATTTCTGAGATATCCTTTATGTATGGTAAGGCGATTTTCTTTGTGTTTTCCTTGGTGGCTTTTGGTTTGATAGGTTGGCTT